GTCTCTCTTATTAAGGCTCCCCTCTGAGGCTGCCAAAGGACGTTCGAGTAGGACAGGTGCATGGTGCTCTCCTCTGCACTCGAAAAAACGCTCTGGTGGGAGAACTCTGTAGTGGCAACAAAAGCGCTCACAAGCCCTCCAGGCTTCTACCAAAGCCGCCGATTAGCTCCCAAATGACTTCTGCAGTATAGCTGGCCCACAATGGTCAATGTATCCCATTTCAGGAGCACCATCGCATCCTTCTGTCAGCCCTTCCGCCGCGTGGTGAACCGTTCCTGCTAGCCATCTTACGTTTTTCCCAGATGTGTGTGGAGTATGCCGCCCTCTGCGACGACGAAGCGCTACAATGGTGTCGTCTCGCCTATGCAAGAAGTGAGTCGTGCAATCGAATATTCACATTTTCTTATAGAGATCCTCTTTATGGCCCGTATTCAAAACGGGTAGTGGTGGTCGTTCCAAACTTGATTGGTCTGGAGAAGTTTTTGGTCCTTCACTAGTTAGGAATTACGCTTATTGGACGTCCGTCTTAGGAACTGAACCAGTTCTTACTGCGAACCGCGCACTTTCAAGAACTAATTGCAATAATTCCTGGCATAGCAGCACTTTTTAGGTGTGTTGCGTTACATCCGTTTCTGATGGCTTTAATTCCACGGTTGATGGAACATATACCCATTCATGGAACATGCCGCTTCACAAGGGACAATGGTTATTGCTGCTTATGAAAACCATGGGCATCACACCCTGTTCCGGTCGATGCTCTGCGAAAAACCGATAGTAATGCACGTCTTCAGATTCTCAGTGGCAAATTTCGCATAGCCTCCAGATTTCGAAGCTATCGGGTACAGAACTGTGCTGCCATTGAGGAGAAAATTGCAAACAACGGGACACCCTCGATCGTTCCCGCTCTGGCACGATCTCCTTCCCAGAACCCCACTCTACCTACTATCTCGCGAACTTTCCCCCACGCTTCCGGAATTTTTTTCCCCAAAATTCTCCAGTTTTTCTCCCCTAAAATCGTCGTCAAGCGGAGTGGAGCAGAGAAGTGTAGGGCGCGTGAGAAACCCAGAAACGTTAACAACTGACACATACGACCCTCCCCCTCCCTCCAGGACCAAATACGGCTCCCCGCTGGGGATCTCCAACGCATGAAGTGCCCCGAATGGCTATCTGATGAAGCGAGAGCGTCATGATTATCACCGGAGCAGCGCGGCGAGCGGGATGTCTCCATTGCGGTAGTTTTGGTGCGACACCAGCCCGTTTCCCATCCATCACTGCAGCGGGGGTGTTCGATTAATGTGGAAAGAAACTGGCAACACGCGCCCCAACCGCAATGCAGACGCTGACACGCCCGTTTCGTGATAAAGAGCGATATATTTATTATCCGCATTAATCTCGTCCCCCCCCCCGACGACATTTTTTCTCTCATTTTTCTCTCAATAGGCCCGACATGGGGCCACGCGTAGAAATGGAAGGTGCACCATAATCACTGCATTCTTTTCAATGATGCTCCTTCCCTCCACTACGGAAAAGAGGACAGACGCGCTGATGCAGGAAGAGCAATTCTTATTGGTCTATCACGGAATGTGTTTTTATCACCGCAGCGCAATCACGCACCATTTCTAAAGGATTTCAGTTGACTAACTGCTAGTTCCCACACAATCGTGAATAGTTCGGCGCTGTTCGGCTTGGAGGGGGCATTTTGCCCTGCCGTTCCTTTCTTTTGCTGGTTCTTGTAAATTTACATGTCACATCTTGGTGAGACTTGTGGACTCTTCTCAAGTATGAGTGAAGTTCCTGCTACTGCATAACTGTACAGGGATTTGCAGCTCTCCACAAAAAAGCATCGGCAGTTCTTGATGGTCACTAGCGAAATGCCCCCACCAAGCCAAACTGAGCCCATTTCTTTTGAATTTGTGATAGATATCTGATGGAAGATCCAACTGATTTTCAGATCTCCCTAGAAAGAAGTCATCGGCTTCGAATACGACACGAAGTGCATCATCACTGAGCTCCTCATCTTCATCATCAGATGTCGATGAAGTGCTTGCCAGGTAAATTAACTGAGTCCATTGAAGGGTTCAATTAAGGGGGGGGGGGTGAAATGGCACCCGCCCCATTTTCTGCGCACATTTCGGTTTGGTGCCCCAGCAAAGCGAACTCTGCCCAGAAAGTTCTGAGTGGTAGGGCCGAGTTAAGCTACAGTCATCGTACATATGAGACAATGAGAATGTTCATTTCTCTCACTGCATCGAAATAGATCCTCCGCGCGCTCCAGGCCAGATATGGCCCTCTCCCCTATCCATATACTCAACAGTGACCCCTCTTGATGACGATAAGAATTGACTGTAATAGTTCACCCAACCAAGACACATTCCACGTTGGTTGTATAGGCGGAAATGGTGAACTATTGTGTCGTCCTCAGTGCCTCTTCTTCTTTACCATCTCAGAGCAGCATCACACCAACAAAGAAGGCACAAATGGTTGACCATTTTCGTCCATAAGTTAGAGTGGAGTGTGTCTTTCAACATCTCCCAGCTCAGCTTGAAGTCGACCGGAGCTGAATTGACGATTCAAGGCGAACACTGCCCCGACACCTCCTCCCCCCCCCAACCCAAACTGTCGGATAAAAAGACGTGTTGACTGCAATCCTTCAGGATTCGGGCAATCCAAACGCGTATACAAGCCCAGTCTACAAAAGTCCCTAAGTCCCTCTATGTTTTGAGTTTTCGCCCAAGGTCTAAAGAACTAGCAGCATCACTACCGCAGCAAAGCAGGACATAAGGAGAGCCAGGCATATGGCACAAGGCTTCTGCCCATTTTTTCACATCTGGGCTCCTATAATGCATCCTAATTCCAACATATTTTGACCCAACCATAAGATCTAAGCGGTGAGCGATCAAACTAGAGAAATCTTCCCGAAGGTTTCGTGGGAGTGCTGCCCAGCCTTGGCTTTCCCTGCATCAAGCCCCGCCGCCGGGGGCGCCAAAAAAAGCAAAAAGTATGCCCGGAGTCCAAGTAGCCCCTTTTTCTGAGCCCAAAATTTCTTTGGCTCTAATCGACGAATAGTTCATTTCCGATAGTTTTAGACGCGACTCGGAACGTATCGCCTCGATGCTGCAGGATTTACGCAGCAACATATCTGAAATTGAACTCGGAATGGCTCTGAGTATTGGAGACAGTACCGGTGAGAAACTGGTATACTAACGCACGCCAACGCAGACTTTTAT